TATATATATATACCACAGTAAAGCATGAGGGTGGAAGCTTCATGCTGTACATTGTTTTTTATTGGCTAGGATTTGAAAACTGGTCAAAGTGACAATTACTCGAAACACAATGCTCCAACGGTTTAAACAGGACCTGTTAAATCTCCTAGAAGGGTCCAGTCAAAGCCCAGACCTCAATCCAAACAGGTCATCCAAACAGAAACAACGCTTCCTTGTCCACTCAACTGTCAAGCCTGTGTGTTTTTCATCATGTAAAAAGACTGGCTTTGCATGCAGACTAGATTTTTATAACTTGTGGACTGTGTGCACTGAGAATGCCACATGCATCAATAAAAATCTCGAAAAGGAGCTGTCAAATACATAACAGACAAAGAACATTGCAGGTGAATGATAAGAAAAAAAAGAAAAACATCAAGGACACGTTTTAAGGAAATATAGTGTGTGGAAATTTGCTGCTAGCCACATTTCGATAAACATTGTTCATACAGTGGGGCAGAAAAGTATTTAGCCACTGATTGTGCAAGTTCTCCTACTTAGAAAGATGAGAGAGGTCTGTAATTTTCATCATAGGTACACTTCAACTATGAGAGACAAAATGAGGAAAAACTCCAGGAAATCACACTGTAGGATTTTTAAAGAATTAATTTGTAAATTATGGTGGAAAATAAGTATTTGGTCAATAACAAAAGTTCAACTCAGTACTTTGTAACATCACCTTTGTTGGCAATGACGGAGGTCAAACATTTCCTGTAAGTCTTCACCAGGTGTGCACACTGTAGCTGCTATTTTGGCCCATTCCTTCATGCAGATCTCTTCCAGAGCAGTGATGTTTTGGGGCTGTTGCTGGACAGCACGGGCTTTCAACTCACTCCACAAATTGTCTATGGGGTTGAGGTCTGGAGACTGGCTAGGCCACTCCAGGACCTTGAAATGCTTTTTACGGAGCCACTCCTTCGTTGCCCGAGCTGTGTTTGGGATCATTGTCATGCTGGAATACCCAGCCACGTTCCATCTTCAATGCTTTCACTGATGGAAGGAAGTTTTGGCTTAAAATCTCACTATACATGGCCTCGTTCATTCTTCCCTTAACATGGACCAGTCGTCTAGTCCCCTTTGCACAAAAACAGCCCCAAAGCATGATGTTTCCACCCCCATGCTTCACAGTAGGTATGGTGTTCTCGGGATGCAACTCAGTATTCTTCTTCCTCCTAACACGATGAGTTGAGTTTTTACTAAAAGTTCTAGTTTGGTTTAATCTGACCACATGTTATTCTCCCAGTCCTTTTCTGGATCATCCATATGCTCTCTGGCAAACTTCAGACGGGCCTGGACATGTACTGGCTTAAGCAGGGGGACACGCCTTGCACTGCAGGACTTGAGTCCCTCTCAGCATAGAGTGTTACTGATGGTACCTTTGTTACTTTGGTCCCAGCTCTCTGCAGGTCATTCATCAGGTCCCTCCGTGTAGTTATGGGATTTTTGCACACCGTTCTCATGGTCATTTTGACCCCACGGGATGAGATCTTGCGTGGGGCCCCAGATCAAGGGAGATTATCAATGGGCTTCCATTTTATTACAATTGCTCCCACAGTTGATTTATTCACACCATCCTGCTTGGCTATTGTAGATTCACTCTTCCCAGCCAGGTGCAGGTCTACAATTTTCTTCCTGGTGTCCTTTGACAGCTCTTTGGTCTTGGCCATGGTTGAGTTTGGAGTCTGACTGCTTCAGGCTGTGGACAGGTGTATTTTATCCAGATAATGAGATCAAACATTAATACAGGTAACGAGTGGAGGACAGAAGAGATTTTGAAAGAAGTTACAGGTCTGTGAGAGCCAGAAATCTTGCTTGTTTGTTATGGACCAAATACTTATTGTCCACCATAATTTACAAATAATTTTTTTAAAATCCTACAATGTGATTTCCTGGATTTTTTTTCCTCATTTTGTCTCTCATAGTTGAAGTGTACCTATGATGAAAATTACAGACCTCTCTCATCTTTCTAAGTAGGAGAACTTGCACAATCAGTGGCTAAATACTTTTTTGTCCCACTGTATATTTCATCCAACTTGTGGTGCCTCGTCACTTTTTCTTTTGCTTCTTTTTTTTAACAGACAGCCAACCGTGCTTTATACTGCCACCAGTTAGTGCGGGTTCATGAGCGGAAACTTCTAGTAAAGCTGACCCCAAACCTTTCTGAATTTGACTCAAGCTTCAGGAACAATCTTACCCTTCAGCCCCTCTGCTAACAGCGCTGCCTCGTGCTCAGTGTAGTGCACAATCGGAGGAGGGGACAGCGGGCGAAAGCGGTCTTCATGGATCTTGCGACGGTGTCTTTCCTCTCTGGCCAGTAAGCGCTGTTTGCACTCCCACTCGTACAGGTCATCTCTGGCTTGAGCAAAGTCCACGTGGATCCTCCCAGAGTCCTTCTTATCAGTGCTGGATCCGATTCGCATTCGGTACCCTGAAGTAGTGGCAGGTGCAAAACCAGGTGAGCTTTAATCATACGGACACCTGCATCTAAATTTCATCTGTATTCAGGAGGTTTGAAGAGTTAGATTAAATGTGCTCACCTGACAGGTAGAGGGCTTTGTCAATCATGAACTCTTCACTGAAGCGGATGTGGCAGAAGTTCTTCTTGCTCTTGCGGATGGCAATGATCTCCCCGCACTGATCGAACACCTCTCTGATGATGTCTTCTGTAGCATTCTCAGGCAAACCCCCCACAAACACTGTCTTGCAGCCTGGGGGGCGCTCTCGAGTTGATGGAGGGGGCAGATCTGCAGCACAAAGACATTATTATGTAAAGTCTTATTTCCCTGGTTACATCAACCTGAATGCTAATAAAAGCCTGTGCACGGTGGTTTATGGCATCTCTCTCTGAATCACTAAGTGAAGCTCTTGAACCGAGACGCACGTTAAAACAAACTGTTTTCAAAACCTCAATTCTAATCTTTGAATGATTGTGATGTCATTCAGAGGGAGCTGGCGGGTTCTTACTGGGGTTCTGGGGGAACAGAGTGCAGCTCTTGCAGTGGATGATCTCCTTGATGACGGGAACATCTGGGGGTACAGGTGGAGGGGGGACCAGACTAATTCCTGCCATCATGGGGTTAATTGGTGCTATGAGTCCCAGACCAGGGTCAAACCTCTGGATGCACAGAGGCTCTGTGGGCCAAAGTAGAAAGAAAGAGAACATTAAAAAATCTGTTAAATGAAAGAGACTCAAAAACACACAAAGCCGTACTTCATACTTCATATCTGGAGACTGGTTTGAAATGACTTCAGATGAATAATCAAATCCTCTGAGAATGCATCATATTTTGAATTTCTTGAAGGAATTCCACACGCTGTGAAGGTAATGGTTTCTTTTTTGTGGATAAATTATAAAAACAACATGTGCAATGTTCTGTGCAGTCTGCTTGTTGGGAGTGACTCAGATAATACCACATCAGATTTTTGCTCAATATTTGAAAAACTGCCTTTTAAAAATACATTTTTATTTTTGCCAAAGCAAAAACATTGTCCCCCTTCCTCCACCCCTTTTGCCTCTAAGTGATGGGAGACGATTATAATGCTCATTATAGATGTGACGTTTATCCATCCAAACAAAGAGATGCAGACCATGGTCTATAAATATCCATATTACATTGAAACTGACATTCTATTAATGTTTTTAATTGTTTTATATCGATAACTGTGTTGGGAGTGTTACGACTACTGGACTGGATTTCCAACTGGTTTTGGACAATTTCTAAGAAGAAGATCTAAAAAAGTTAAATCTGGTCCTCTGGACATTCAAAAAACAAAACAGAGGACCAGATTTAACTTTTTCAGGGTTTTCTACCTGGATTATTGAGCATGCATCAGGACACTAAGAAGAAGAGTTTGGACAAATCGGAGGTTGACATCTTTAGTTCCTGAGGGACTCAGACAGCAGCCGATCAAATCAAACTGTACGCTGCTTGTGCAAACTGATAAAACCTTTAAAATAAACTCCAAGAATCCATTCAGAAGTTTCCACTGTTGGCATGAGGTTATAACATCATCACATCTTTCACTCACACTCACTGAAGAAGATACGTGATAGTGAAATGTAGCCAGAACAGACCTGATCAAACTTGCATTAGACAAATATTAAAGTGCTTAAATTCATGAGCAGTTCTTTCAACTCTTATTGGGTGAGAGTTTTATAAAACTGACAATCTTTTTTGTAAAACACAAATGTCACTTTTCAAAAACAAACAAAAAGGACAATCCACAGAAGCAAACTTCTCGGTGCTTTCCCCCTCATTTTCAAACGCAGATATTATTATTACATCTCTACAGCACTTTTATGCTAATGCACCTGCGATACAGGCGAGCACAACGTGTTTATTCATCCAAGGTAAATCACGACTTGTAACATTTTGAACATGCTGTTCTTTCAAGGACAAGCTGTTAAACGAGTTGTATCCTCGCAGACATTTCATTCATGTTTATAATCAGTATTTGTGTTGGGAGGCTGATCCTTTTCTAACAAGACTGAAGGGACAACTCCTACTGCTCCATCATTAGGACTTCTCTGAATTCTTTTTAGATGATTTACAATAAATGCCATTTCCCCCAATACTTTATATACGAATTGCAAATAAAATTTATTTACATCCTTGTATGTTTTATGAAATTTTTGCTGTCAAATATCAACAATGGTCAATAAAATTAAGAAAATATAAAATAATCTTCTAAGTCAAAGTTTGATTTTCACAACATAAAACCAGTTAATTCAAAACGTGTAAGATAACACGTGTGTGACATTCAACTCACCTGCAGTTTATTATGCCAGAGTTTTAGTGTCAAGCATCGTATGCAGAGATTCATGTCTGTCTTGTAAATGATGGTGTGCAGTCTGTTGCAGGACCGAGTAATGTTGTGATGCATGTAGCACTCCGAGTGTGCGCTGAAGATCAGCCTCAGCTACCACCACAACAAAGCTTTGCTATCTCTAAAACTGAAGATGCAGCTGCTATGGTTGCACGTGGAGACCTTCTTGAATGGTGCTGATGCAAAAAGTTCCACTGTAGCTGTCCATCCAACGATGACTTTTTGAACTTTTCATCATCCATCAATCATCCATCCAACAATGACTTTCTGAACATTTCATCATCCATCAATCATCCATCCAACGATGACTTTCTGAACATTTCAT